CGTACGAAAATAAAGCAGAAGCAAAATAAAAATAAACAAAAGCTTAATTTCTTCAAACTGTGCTGTTCTTTAAATGCCTGCATATGTACGAACCCACTCGCACAAATGTAAGTACATGCATTCACACATTGGACATTAGACTGGGTCGCGAAAAAAAATTTAGTTTGAAAGCTTACATATGCGCACGGAGTGGCTTCAACTGGCAGTCTTCACCTGCTAGATACGCTTGCTTACGTGTTGAGCCAAATGTGATGTCGCTCTTGAAGACCGCTAAAAGTAGAAAGTATTTACGGTACGCGATATGTCGCCTTTCAGTGTCATTTTTGTAGTTTGACCGCCATTTTCTTAAAAATACCACAAATTTAGAAAGAGTGCGCGACTATTTAAAATTAAAAAAACAAATGGATTCGTGAATTCCAGATATTTTAAAATTAATAAATTTATACCGGCAAAGTAAGGACTCGAAAGTTCTTGATTAACAATATTTCTAATGAAAAGGGTATGCTTTTCCCCCTTCGACCAAAAACTTTCATTATCTTAATCTTCACTCGGCTAAATTACAACCTTTTTTCTTTCGTATGGGGTCCAACCCGGTCTAATGTACACGTACATATATATGCATACATGTATGTACATATAGCGAAGGAATATCTCATACATACCTTGCATTACCACATCCAGATGTATGCGCTGCAACAACGTCATGAAATTCTCACCGCTTTTCACGCCGGGCCGCACCGCAAATTTAGCAATCGATTTGTACTCCGGAAACTTGTCTTTCAACAAGTCTTCAAATAACTCGCCTGCCAACCATTCGGGTGTGACATCAGCAGTAGCTCTGCTGTGTGGGTCATCCCCGTTCACATCGGATGGCTGATTGTGCGGTTCCTTTTCCATTGGGCGATAATTTATTTAGATTTTGGGCGATCTGCACAACTTGAGGTCTGAATTGAAACTGCGACTGAGTTTTTGAAAACCATTTAAAAGACTTGACCGCCGCTGACTGCTTTGGATGCAGTAGTGGCAGGGCTTCCAATTCGCGAACGCTACACACATGTATGTACATTAGAGTGGTCCAAAAAAAAAGTTTAAAATATTAAGCTCTCACCCCTAGAATGCTTCTAATTGGAAAAAAAGAATACCCGTATTTTTCTGTTAAAAAAATGATATTTAGAACTGTCATTAGAAAAATCCTAGGCGTGAGAGCTTAACATTTTAAACTTTTTTCCTCCTCCTGAATTCTGGGATCACCCTAATGTAACATACATATAAATACATATGCACATGCACATTAAGGTGCAGTATGTATGTATGCATTTCATAATATATTTACTTAAATGTACTCGCAAAAATAAACTCTTGTTTCTGTTTTTTTTTTTTGTTTTTTGGAGACGTTTGCTGAGGATTTAAATGTGCGCAGATAATATTGTTCAACCATTTAATCAGCGTTTACAAGTACCTTAACTCAATTGCGTATTCGGAGCTCTTTTATCGCATTGAGTCTGAATGATGTTACCCAAAAAATTATATTCAGATTTTAGAACCTTGTCAATTTTAAGTTATATGTACATTGATTGAATACCCCTTAAATGGTAAGCTTATAATACTGTTTTTTACGCCATAGTTTGTAATATTTCGTAACCATCGTTACGTAAAAAACTGAATTTTTAGAATTGTAAAGTTAAAAATGCCAAAAGAAAACTGTTTAAATAAACTTTCATAAAGCTGCCCAGCAGGCAAATGTAATGAATGGCAAGCGAGTAGCTATCGCTTTCAGAATGCGTTATTGCTAACAATATGTCAGGTATCGCTCACTATATGTATATTTAAAGGTTGCATTAAAATTTATGATTGTGCCTAACGCAAAGCATTTTATTATCGATTTTGAATTGGTTTACAATTAAGAAACATACATACGTCATTAACTGATAATTGAAATGCTTAACTTCAGACCTAGCTTTATTTTTAATCCAATCTTTGAATATAAAGTGAGATTTAAAGTTAAAGGTTACTTCAGATAACGGCCCTAAATGGAAAAAAATAAAGTCCATGCGCCAGGGTTTGAACTCGCGACCAACAAGTTGTTAGTAGAACACGCATCCACTCGGCTACAGCGGCTGTTGAGATAACGTGAAGAAAAGACATTCTTATGCCGGATTTCCACTGGGCATTAAATGACAAAAACGACAAATGACAAGTCGAGCATTAAAAAATAATCGTTTAATTACATTAAAAAAATAGTCATTAAGTTCATTTCCACATGAAATTTTTTTAAATGGCATACATTTTTTTTATTATTTCAATGTCTAGTGGAAATTCGGCATTAGATTTGATGTAAAGTTTTTTGTTTTGCTTCTGGCTTCAAAAGTACACATTACCCGCCCGTTTATATTGCGATGCACATTTTCGTACAATCGTAGTGATTAAATTTTTCAGGGTAGAAAAAGGTAATGCATGCCCCCATTTGCCTGCTGGGTGGATAAGAAATAATTGAGTTGCGTGCTGGGCTATGCACCCAAATGCATACTTGCACTTCTCCGCGATGTACGAGATAGATATACATTAGGGCCGGTAAATTTTTATGGGCATTTTTTTCACTACGCGCATAGCACAGAACAATTCTACGTCTAATTCTAAGAATATTTGCCGAAGAAACCATGGGACTAAGATCAATTTATAGTTTGCCAAATTTGGAAAATAGGTTTCTTAGCATTTTCCTGTAGTGTCGTAAAGAAGTGCTTAAATGTTGTTTAAAAAATGGCATAAGGAGTTTTTTGGTATGAGGAATCCATATTTGCACTTATTTTTTTTCTTAAAACTTTCACTTGAGGGCACAACAGTGAACATTTTCATATTTTCTTTGATTTTAGACCCATGGTTTCTTCGGCTAATTTGCTTAGAATTACACGTAAAGTCATCTTATTCTATACGCGCAGTCAACAAAAAATTGACCCGCCCTAATATATATAATTGTATACATATGTATGTATGTATGTATGTATGCATGCATATTTGTTAGCAATTTTTTTTGTAACGGTATAAATAGTTTGTTATTCCAGTATGTGGATAACTTATGAGAATGTTACATCAAGTTTAAGTCGTTGACACAAGAACGAAGCAACACAACTGGCGTTTGTTCACATAACGGTTGTTTGTAACAGGCAAAACGAATCGAGATAGATATAGACAAATGTATACATAAATGATCAGAATGAAAAGAGAAATCGATTAAGCGGNTACACGATAGCTCGAGTAAAAATTGAGATATCTTAACGAAACTTGGTACGTGTACTTCTTTCGGGCGTTGGACAGATGCTATAGAAACTGGGCAAAGTCGGAAAATAACCACACCTACCTCCCATACTACGGTAGTTTTCAGCAGGGACCGTAACAGTTACAACTTTTATTAAAAAAATCACTTTTTAACAATTATTTTTTGACTTTTATTTAATTACTCCTTAATTAACCGAAAATAACAATTATTTATGATTTTTAGTTAAATAATCTGCAAATAACAGTTATTTTTGAGTTTTAAATTATATGTCTTAAATAACAGTTATCGAAGACTTTTATTTATAAAAGTCATAAATAAAAATCAGTCACTGATCTTTATTTTTTCAATCATACTTATAAAAGTCATTTGAATAGGTCGTAGTAAACTTTTGTTTTCCAACACCTTCTTAACTGCGAAAAATGTTAATGACTTTTATACGATTGATTTAAAAAATAAAAGTCGGTCACTGATTTATATTAATGACTTTTAAAAGTAAAAGTCACTGACTGATTTTATTGATGACTTTTATAAATAAAACTCTTCAATAACTGTTATCTAAGCCATATAACATAAAAATCAAAAATAATTGTTATTTTGGATTTATAATATAAAAATAAAATATAATTGTTATTTTTTTAAATTTTGCATAAAAATTTCAAATAAAAATTTATTTTCAAATTTGAGTCTCGGTGCAAAACGAAATCGATTGGTATGTTTCACTTAGTTGTAGAACATTTCCTTCACAGTCAATTTTTCCATGACCGCTTTCATCAATAACTGTTATGTTCGGTCCCTGGTTTTCAGATATACGAAAACTGCGATATTTTAGTAACTACTGTAGCGTATTCACTCAAAATTGATATTAACAATGATTTTTAGACGAAAAATAGGAGTATTATACATTTTTGGAAAATGCGCGTAGCCACGCCCACTTATGATGTGTACATCTTGGTAACCGCTCCACCAATTTCCCCCAAACTTGGCACAGTTGTTGGCCTTGGTACAACATATCAAATGGCTGAAAATTTTTAAAATCAGACATTAACCACGCCCACATCCCATACAACGATAATTTAGAGAAATACGAAATTTTCGATAAATTAGTAAATATTGAAGCTAATTTATTCAAAATGAATGCTTGTAGTAATTATTTAGCTAGAAATACGTTTATGATCAAATTTTGGAAAATATGCGTGGCACCGATAACTGTTCGACCAATATGTGCCAAACTCGGTATGATTATTGTGCTTGCCACATAAAAGCAAATCGTTGAAAATTATTGAAATCGGACTAAAATCACGGCCACTTTTCATATAACGGTGATATTCAGAAATGCTTGAAACATCGATATTTCGAAATTTAAGGACGCTTATTTACTCAAAATTGATACCAATAAAAATGACACCAATACCTTGAAAATACGTAAATTATTTGGAATTTCGGAAAATGGGCGTGATACCGCCCACATATGACTACATAAGTCTCATTTTGTCTAACTGAACGTTCTCTAGTTTTCGGAAAGGTAAAAAAACTATATTTAATACTTGCGCCGGGTATTTAATGTTTGGCTGCGCCCGAACTTTGACTTTCTTACTTGTTACTTTTCGTTTCACTTCAATCAAAACCTATCGACACCATTAAGCTAAATATTAAATATGTATATGTATGTATAAATGTGTAAGTTTACGTTGCATTTATGTATGAGTATGTAGCTAAATCCGTGATTTTGATAGTATGAATCTCAAAATCGCAGATCCAAGAACGATTCAAGTTCGCCAAAGATTGCTTTGACATTTCCGCTATTGTAAAATGTGATTGTCTTCACTTAGTTTGTTCAGTTGAAAAACTGCACTGAGAAAAAAGTAGCAAAATATGTTTGTCTCAACACATGATTTGGTAACTAAAACCAAATAATGTAACTATAACCAAATCATGTGTTGAGGAAAACATATTTAGTTGACGTAACTAAACTCTTTCTGTAAACTCGGCCGCTGTGGTGTAGTGGTAAGCAGTGCGCGCTTCCACTCCGCAGCACCTGGGTTCAAACCCTGGTCAAAGCAACATCGCAAAAAATATAGAAAAAAGGTTTTTTCTTAACAGCGGTCGTCCCTCGGCAGGCAATGGCAAATCTCCGAGTGTATTTCTGCCATGAAAAACAGCTTCTCATAAAAATACAATCGCCGTTCGGAGTCGGCGTAAAACTGTAGGTCCCTCCGCTTTGTGTGACAA